AAAATATCATAAAGAATAATGACTACAATTCCAACACATATCCTTCCAAAGGGGACATCCTAAACATTGAAATAAGCTATATACCTCAATTATTAAATGCATTTATTAATGAACATGTTCAAGCATGTATAAAACATGTTCCAATATCACAAGTTTTATTTTCTGGAATACGTCCAAGATATATCATGCCATTTTAGTTTGGACTAGGTGTTGCTGTCGATAACCGTCTTTTATCAAAATGGCTGAAAATACTGCTATCAGAATTGGGATTTTTTGTTAGTTTAACGAGGTGAGTTTCTTTTCATTAAAATGTTGATGTGTATAGTATTTACTTGTATTATAATAAATATGCGTATTATTTATTTTTATCAGAATTACCAGATTTGGAATCTGTTTTCGTAATTTTTTAAAGTTAGCTGTTACAAACAAATTGAATAATAGTGATAGTGACTTTAAAAAAATATAATTATGGTTTTTTGTTCATGTTTCGTCGGAAATCAACTTTTTTAAAAGAGGTGTCATAAAATCAGCACCGAAGTTAACATTAAAAATATTTATACTCAATGATGTATCACCAGTAAAAGAACAGGCCCGTAGGAACAAAAATCATAGTGATGAGGGGGGCAGTGCTGGATTAAGGGGCCCCGAAAGAGTTTTAAGGGCCTTTTCTTTTTAGTTACTTTTTCAGTTAATTTTTTCAAAATTATTTATTTAAAAAATTATTGTAGGTGAGGGGGGACACAAATGCCCCTACTGCCCACTTGGTTGGTACGGGCCTGAAAGAACTTATATCAATTAAGATTGCTGATGAGGGCGCATTATTGTGGTGCTGCAATTGGAAAAATTCATTCATTTTTCTCAACATTTGCAATTTGATACGGTCATTTTTGATGGTTATCAGTCATCCACTAAAGATCTCAACCCATGCCCAGCAGAAAGAAGTATTTTCCTAAGTAATGGCAAAAACAATTTTATATTTTGGCAGGCTTTTAGCAATGAAGTTACAAACAATGGTTTTAAGGGTATTTGTTGTCCCAGTGATGCAAACACAAGTATTGCTCAGCTAGAGCTTGAGATTGACAACGTTGACCTGAGATTGATACTGAATTTAAATGACTGATATTTTATATCTATTAGTAATTATGAACATACTGAAGCACAACCATTACTTATATACAGGGCCGTACCGACGGGGTGTTTAGGGGTGGACACCCCCCACCACCTAGATTTACAAAATTCTGTCGATTTTTGTTTGAAAATTAGAAAATTTGAGACTCTGTCGCTTAGAACTGAAATTTGGCTTCTAAAAAGAATGAAAAGAAAAAACCCTTGCCTGTAAAGTTAGTTTTTTCCTTTGCAACCCCCTCCCTCAAGTCTTCGTCGTTCGGTACGACCCTGCTTATTTATAAGTATACAATATATATTATAAAGTTTATAAAAAAATGTAAATGTTTATAATTTTGTTATAAAAAAATAAAAATAAAAATGTTTGAGCGGTTTTGAAATGAATATTTTAAAGAATTATTGTTTTAAATAAACTTTTCGTTTAATTTGTAAATCAGAGTTATACTAAACGAATACAAATTTATAGTTACACTTTAAGTGGTAGTATAGTAATTAAAATTGAAAACTTCATTTTTTTTAAAATACATTTTTCAACTAATATAACTATTGCAGAATAGAAATCTTTTCTGGCTTTATAAAAATTTTCTTAGCATATACCTCTAAAATTGCTTTTAAATTGTTCGATACAATTTTTTATCCATAGCAACGCTTTATTTACCAGGTTGCTACGGGATTTTGCAATCAAAGCTATATAAAATAATGCAATAACAACATTTTAAAGCTAACATTTTATAAGAAAATTTGTTAATCAGCAGTTACTTCTTGTTTATTGACTCGATTTATACACATATATTGCGCATGAGCACGCTTTATTGTACAATATTGTACAACCCTAACCCGTTAATATTACTGTACCTTGGCCGTGAACACTAATTAACGGCGTTGTTTAACTACTTTACGGTATTCTACCGTAAAATTTTAGAGAGATTTTATGTAAGTACGGGTTGCCATGTTTTATATTTAAATGTTTAGTTCTTAATTTCAGTTTGAAATATTTGTAATTGTTTTAATAATGGATCCTGCTATTAATAAAATAGTATCATATTTTTCAATGAAATTACTTGTCGCACTTTATTTATAATATTAGGATATAAGATTGAAGATATAAAACGCGTGTTTGATGTCTTCGAAGATATATTCTGAAGCTTTAGGCTATATTTAAGATATTTCTGAGATATATCTGTTCAGCTAGCTGTGATATAAATATTATCTCAGCTAGTGATATAGATAATATCTATATCACAACTAGTTGTAATATGGATAATATATATATATATATATATATATATATATATATATATATATATATATATATATATATATCACAGCTAGTTGTGATATAGATAATATCTATACCACACCTAGGTTATCTAGCTGTGATATAGATATTATCTATATCTATCAGTTATATACAAATGATATTTATATATATTTCTTTTTTTAAGATAATGTTTGCTATTAAGAGTAATATTTTAAAACACTTTCAAATATTGATAAATGTGTTTTGAACCAGGTTGTCAAAAATTTATTGGAAATAGGTGTTGAAAATAAAACAGATCTCTGCCTTGTAAAAGTTGAGGTTCTGCTTAAACCCATCGAATAGCGCAAACTCTTTGAATATCGGGCATAGGAAAGCTCTGCTAATAAAGATTTATAATACATATATCATTTTTATTATCATAGACATTTATATACCTTATTTATAATGTTAAAAGCGTTTTTTGCAGAACAATCTCAAAATCCTGTAGATTTTGTGGCCACACAATCCAGCATGCAAAGGATGCCCACAGTTGAAGTGAAAAATAACTCAACTAATTTGAATAAGTTGTTAAAAAAAGTTGTAAATAAAACATGGTAAGTAATAAAATGTTTATTTTAAAGTGTTCTTTAAATATTTAATTGCTCAATTTTATATATAGTTTCAATTCTGTCTAGCAATAAAGATTAAACATGTAAGTACTGCTGATTGGTATTTAAGATTTGTTGTATCTTGAGCCAAAAAGAGGCACAATATATATTTGCAGCTGGAAAAAGACCTTCAACAGCACATCGTTGTTCAACTATAAGCATTATTATGAATAATATTTATTATGTTCTTGCTGTTTATTTATGCTATTTAAAAATATTTAGACGTAATTGCATCTTCTATGGTTGCCAAATATTTTAAATTGTTTGTACATGAATATGGTCCAACAATAATTGGTTAGGGTCATGACAGTTTAACGTTACAATTAGGTAACCATTATGACTATCTGTGGCAGCCAAACCGTGTACCACTGTTACTGGGTGTTTTAAATTTGGAATCCCAAGAGGGATCCCAATTATTAGTTGATGTCATAAAAAAAAACTGATAGTTATGGTTACTTAAACCGAGAACCAGTTCTCAGTGTTTCAAACAGCCCTGAAGAAATCCATTACTATTTACAATGAACTAAAATAATCGGAAAGACCTTGTTAAATGATTTGTTGATAAAATTGTCCAATTTCTTTACAGTAAAGTAAGTTCTTTTTATTCAAAAATAAAACAACTTATGTTATTAATCAGTATATATTGACCTATATAATGATAAATAAATTGATATTACATTTTTATAGTATTCAATTTGATTTTTGAAGAAGTTTATTTTATTTAGTTATAGTATATCTATGTATTTCTATTGATTATTTGTTTTTAGATTGATGGTTTGCAACCTCACTTTGATGTTTTGATGTGTGGAGTGAATGCTGGTGAACTCTTGATAAAAGCATTAGATAATGAAAAGTTTATGGTATGCTGAATTACAAGTTCGTATATGTTTTAAGTTTTTGAAAATCAAAAACTTGAAACATATTTTGTAAAAAAAAAGGATGAACTCTATCATTTTTCTTTATATATACTTAAGTGGATTTTTTTAGGTCAACTTGCATTCTTTTTTTAGGAAATTTGCTATTTACAGCAAATGGTAATTGATTGTATTGTTGTGGTTGATGGAATGACCAATTTTGTCAAGTCATTTTGTTGTTTGTTTTCGAGTTTTTATATTTTCAATATACTATATTCAAAAGAAGCTTCGTCAATATAGAATTTTGTCAACTGTATATTATGATTATGTTATGTTGAATTAAATTAATTTAATTTTTCTAAAGTTTATATTGCATTTGATTTTAATTTTTATTTTTTATTCATTGATGAGAATGTTTTCAAACGTCAATTGCTTATACATATATTATTGACCGTTTTAGTGCTTTTTTCGGCATCAATCCTGAAAAGGGAGCAAATCAAGGCGAACGAAGAAGACTTCATCAATACTGCAGAAGTTTGCGAGATTTAATAATATTTAAATTTACCACGTAGTCGTAAACTTCCAAATATAATTCTAAATATAAATTAAACTTCTAAATATAACTTTTAAAAAACAATTTTTTTTGTGGTTATTTATATTTATTTGTAAATTTTTAAAAGTTTTACAATAATATCTTTTTTTTTGAATTTGATTAGTTCTTAATATATGTATTTATATAACGTCATATTAATGTCACAAAGTTTGCGTTTTTTTGTAACCTATTTATATTCCTTTAATTTATTTGAGTAACTATATTTATTTAATAATGTAAACTGAAATGATAATGTCATAATGTAAACTGAAAAGATTTTTTATTTTATGGCACTGGTTCACAGGTAATTAAATTACATAATTTAATCCACTTAGTTGATGATGTTGAGCACACTTTGTCTACAATATCTGCATTACCTTTTGAAAACCATCTTGGTAAAGTTAAACTAATTGGACTAATTCGAGGAAGAAATAACACTTTTGGTTAGTTGGCTAAAAGAACATCTGAACAAAAAAGCCTGTCAAAAATTTAAAAATACAATTAAAAAGAAAGTTCTTATAATGAACTCGAATGCTATGCTTGAAGATAATGTTGATTTAGAAGATACAATATTTCAAGGAGTTACACTTACCATTAAAAAACCAGATAACATTGTAAAAATGTTTTCTGGCCATATTTGACAAGAATGACAAGAATCCAAAGAGCAACATAAATTCTTTTTACAAGGTTATATGTTTATGGATCTCAATTTTGTTTTTCATGAAGGTAAGTTAAGGCAAATGTATTACTGTTGTTTGAAAACAACAGTAATACATTTGCCTTAACTTACCTTCATGATTCATGAAAAACACATTTAAAATACATTTGTTGACTTTAGATTACATTCTACAATTATTATTGTTGAATTATCAATTATTATTTTAGAATACTAGATTAATTAATGTAACATATAATAAAAGTCTGTTACTTGAGTATCTATATTATGAATAGCGTTAGAAATATATCTTTATTTGAATAGCGTTATAAATATATGCTTTGAAACATTTTACCTTTAGAATATTTTTTTCAGATTTAATAAATGAAGAATGTTTATTTTAATTTGAAATAATCATTATTCAAAGTAATTAAATTCTTCAGTATTTGGTTCATAATAATCATTATTCAAAGTAATTTAATTCTTCATTATTTGATATGAATCATCTGGAAAAATGATTTAAATCATCTTTCCAGATGATTCATATTAATGAAATTAATTCATATTAATGAAGACAGCATATTAAATTTTCAAATACTTTACCAAGTAATAAAGAATTAAATTACTTTGATTCACTATTTGACATCGAATACCAAATTAAATTACTACTCATATTGTAGTTTAGCTCCTTGAAAAAACAAGGAAAAAAAGCATGGAAAGGAATGTATTGATGTCATTCCTATTTTATGATTGTATTACGAAAAAGACAAATTATTCTGTAAATACCCATCTGAAAACGAGTATCATGCACTAGAAAATATGAGTAAAATGTCATTGATATCAGGAGTTTTGTGGAAGAGTTTTGAAATTATCTTAATTAAAGAAACAAGTATGTAATGAAACTCTTTATATAATCAATTTTAAATGCATTATAACTTAAATATTGTCATATATAAAGATAATTATTTACATTGTAGAAAGCTATGAACAAGGATTGTGACATGATTAGGGTATGCTCTGAATTTGTAGTTCAGAGCAGTAATTTTGACAGTTCAGAAGAAGAGTTTGCTCCTGTTATATTAAGCAGCTCAGAGCTTAAATCATCTTTAAAAGATGACTCTTTGTTTTAAAGTATGACTTTAAGTTTATATAAGTTTTTTTATTTCAAAAAAATCTTAAAACATTATAAAACATGTTAGAGATTCATTTAACCTTTTTACTGTTTTTCAATGATATCTATATCTGATGTTTTAGCATGTACGTGGAAATATCCGTTTTACGGAAACGAATTTTGTGCTAAAAAACTGTACCACGCTTTTTAGATTTTTTTTTTAACTAGCGTTGGGAAGACGTGTTTAGTTAGAAAACTTTTTAGAATTTGATATCAATATTGATTATTTTTAGAAACTAGAATAGTTAAACTTTGTTACTGTGAGTTTTATTATTTTACTGGATGGCTTTTTTTACAAATTTAAATGTCTAAAACTTTGTGTACTTTGGGCATGAAATTTATATCGAAGTTGGGCATGAAATTTATATCGAAATTTATATGCTCATTTTTTTTTCTATACTATTCTTTTCTTTATGTTTTTCATTCATCTATGCAGCTGGAAAATTTTATTGAAAAAAAAGTTGTAGCAGGGTGTCTATTTTTTGTCGCACTTTTGATACCTAATTTTCATTTTGGTGAAGTGGAGACAGAGGGGTTAAATAAATATTGTTTATATTTGATTTTGATTAAATACAATTTTCAGTTTTTTTTTAGATTAAAGAAAATGGAAAGTAAAGATATTGGTAAAGATTTACAATATTGTTTCCTATTTATTAAAATTTTAAAAAAACTATTTGCCTTCAATGTAAAGTTATTAAAATTTAATAATTTTACATTAAACTTCAATGTAAAGTTATTAAACTTTAATAACTTCACATTGAAGGCAAATAATTTTTTTAAAATTGTTGCCTTTACTTTGAAGGCAAATAATTTAATTTAAATGAATTTAATGTTTCCTTACTTTAAAGTTGAATTTTTTTAAAATGTAACTGACATATTAGTAAAATTATAACATATTTGATCTTACAGTGTAAGTCTCATCAATAATAATTGCAATATACTACTACTTATTGTATCATCATGATACAACAAGTAGTAGTATATTGCAATTGTTATTGGAGAAAAAAGTCTCGTTTTTACCTTGATGTTTTTTAAAAAAAAGATGCATGATAATCATGCATCTTTTTCTAAAAAAGTCAAGGTAAAAAAAAGACTTTTTTTTTAATGATCAACTGTTAATATTTCAACTGTAACAAATAATATAAATAAAATATGATCATATATAACTAATATATGTTAGCAACCTTATTCAACTTTTATGTATAATAAATGTAACGTAAATAATCAAAAACATTTGTTATTATTTTAGCTGCCAAAAGCAGTCCTACGGCAACAGCTAACAATATCAGTTAGTTACTTTAAACATTCAATATTCATTAGTTTCTTTTAACAGTAGATTTAGTCTAAACAAATGTTTGTATTATTTTGCTAAAAAAAGTTTTTTATTTGTTTTTAAGATTTTATTTTTTTTCAGTTTATTTTCGAGATTTATTGTTTTAGTATTTAGTCTTTTGCTCTCAATATTCAATTATATATCTTTATTATGCTATGTGTTTTGTGCCGATTTTTGTGCATCCACAAAGTTTTTTCATAGTTGTTTATTTTGTATATTCCTGATTATTTCTTGCTTTTTATTGAGTCATTGTTATTCTTTTTCTATAGCCAATTAAGAACAAACTATTAGTGAGTAAAGTTTGAACTATTTTAGTTATTTAGTCATTTGAACTTTTTTTTTTGTAATGTTAGTCTGATAATTTAATTTTATAATAAAGTTGGTATATTTAAATTTGTAAGTTTAGTAAATTTTAACAATTTCAATAGTATAGTTTAATGATTCATGCTAAGATTATTATTTAATTGATACACGCTAAAGGTGTTCACTCTATTGACAAACGCTAAATAAAGATGTAACGAAAAGTGTAACTTGAAATTTAGTTTATTTTAGTAAACTGTTATTATATTGCTATTGTAACTACTTATTCCTTTTTAATTCTTTAGCAACACTCACTTCATTAATTGGTAAGTGATTTTTATGTATTAATTGGTAAG